ATATAATTGTCTAAAATAAGAAATGACAAGAGGAGTAACAAGGTCCTGCGAACAGTGGCAGCTACCTTGCAGTCTCCAATTAAAGCACACTGAAATCAGCGAACTCACCTGGATCTGCACATAAAGTGCAGGGTGTAGTATGAGTACAACCACCTCAGTAGTAACAGAAATAACTAAGGAACTGAGCAGTAGTGACGAGCTGAGCAAAATAGTCCAATTATTTATTTTTTCACAATTTTAAAAATAACAGGAATAAACAGGTAAATTCCATAAGTCAATAAATGCCAAAAAGAAATTTAACAGATAAATGCAGCAACAGCAAAAGTAAATGCAACCTCACAGCAATGTCACTCCATCACTCAGCACTCGCACTCGTCACTCAACACTTAACACTCAATACACTCAACACTCTGCGCTCACTGGGGGTGTGTACAGACTCCGGAGGGGCTCCTAAAGCCCAAGCGCTGAGCACGGACAACTCACGTGCCATTATATCAATACCTGGATCCGCACGGTCAACGCACGAGCTACGCGGACAACTCACGCGCTATGGTATCAATACCTGGACCCGCACGGTCAACTTACGTGCTACGCGGACAACTCATGCACTATGGTATTAATATCCTCACAACCAGGCCCTCGGCCTCACTCAATCATGTACCTCACTAGCCTCACCATCATCAACAAATAAGGGGACACAACCCACATCAAGTATCACAACATATTATCAAATAATAGAGGCGGAGGTAAACATGTACAATAATTTCTATGACTGAGTACAAATAATGTGAGCATGAATAAAACCTAAACAGGATCTCTAACATGAAGGCAAACAAGTTCAACAACAAGTAAACACATAACCACATATAATAGCCATTAGGCCTCACGGGACGGACCAAGTCTCAATCCCTCGCGGTGCACACCCACACGCCCGTCACCTAGCGTGGGTATCATCACCAAACAATCACATGATATCAATTTCTCCGGGTTTATACCCTCAAAGCCAGAGTTAAAACCGTTACTTACCTCAACAGCGTAAAATTCTACTCCGGGATGTCCTCGTCCCTGGACTCGGTCTCCAAAAGCTCCGAGTCTAACCAAAATCAGAATACTACTATCAACATAGTCTAAAGAATCGAATTCCACAATAAAAACTACATAAACATGCCAAAAATCCGAAATCGGCCAAAACTCGGCCCCCGGGCCCACGTCTCGAAATCAGTCAAAATGGCAGAATAATAATCCTCGTCCTCTCCCGAGTCTACCCATATAAAATTTATCATAATCGGACTCTGTTTGGTCCCTCAAATCCTCACTTAAAACTGTCTAAAACTCAAACCATAACTCCCTCAATTTCACTTTGAAATCATCAATCAAATCCCAAAAACGAAGATGGATTCATAAATTATAATTAAAATCGAGTAGATAACACTTATCCCGATCCATATGGTAAAAATCGCCTCCAAAATCGCCCAAATCCGAGCTCCCCAACTGAAAATATAACCGAATGAACAAACCCTAGTTTTATATATTTTTCTGCCAGCTATTCTGTCTCGTTTCTCGTGCCAAATGATCCCGAAACTCGTATTTTATGCCTCGAATGGATTCCTTGTGAAATTCTAGTCAAGTTAGGCTTTTAAATCACTTAATTTGACCTTATAACGAAGGAGATATGTAGGTTTTAATATTTGCAAATAGTGCAGATTTTTAATTACGCTACTAGTGGCAAATTCGTAATTAAACTGAAAAATCTGGCAACCTAATTCTTAGTAAAATAACCATAAAATCCTCATACGATGTCCAAATTCGACGATTCTTTTTGCTACGGGTCCGTAATTACGATACGGATCTAATGCTTCAATCAAAAAAAGAAATTGTAACTCATTTGTTCAATATGATATCATTTATGCTTGAAGAAACGGCGTCGAAACATAAGAAAACGAGCGCAACACAACCCAAACTTATCCGAAACTCGCCCGAGGCCGTCGGGACCTCAACCAATAATTCCAAAAAGTCATATATCACTACCCGAACTTAGTTGAACCTCCGGAACACCCCAAAACAACACCAAAACACCAAATCAACCTCGAATTCAAGCCTAAGATTTTTTAAACTTCCAACTTTTGCCAATTCAAGCCTAATTCTACCACGGACCTCCAAACTAAATTCCGGACGCACTCCTAATTCTAAAATCACCCAAGGAAGCTAATCGAATCATAAAAATCTAAATCCGAATTCATTTACTCATAAGTCAACTTCCGGTTGACTTTTCTAACTAAGAGACTAAGTGATCATTTCACTCCAAAACTACTCCGAACCCAAACCTACCAACTCGATACAACTCAACACAGCTGAACAACACATAAAAAAACAGAAATGAGAGAACGGGGCTACAACTCTTAGAATGACTAACCGAGTCGTTACACTGGGAATTGCGAAGAAAGTTTGGGAAATGCGAACATGCCTGGGAATTGCGAAAACAGTTTGGGAATTGCGAAACCTGCAGGCCTGCAATTCCTTAAGTCCAAAATTTCACCCCGTGGCCTATCCAAAACTCACCCGAGCCCTTGGGGCTCCAAACCAAATATACACACAACCTCAAAAACATCCTACGGACTTATGCGTGTACTCAAATCACCAAAATAACATCATGAACATCGAATTAAACCTCAAGATCAATGAAATTTCTCAAAACTTCTTTAAGCATCAAATTTGCTTTTAAGGTCCGAATCACGTCAAATGGATTCCGTTTTTCACCAAATTTCACAGAAACGTCTTAAATCACATATAAGACCTGTACCGGGCGCCAGAACCAAAATACGGGCCCGATACCATCAGGTTCTAATCAAATTTCATTTCGAAACCTTATAAACAATTTCAGAAAATAATTTATTTCAAAAATTCATTTCTCGGGCTTGGGACCTCGGAATTCGATTCCGGGCATACGTCCAAGTCCCATATTTTCCTACGGACCCTCCGGGACCGTCAAATCATGGGTCCGGATCCGTTTACCCAAAACGTTGACCAAGGTCAAATTAATTCATTTTATAATCAAAACTGATCATTTTTCTCACAGAATTCATATTTAAGCTTTCCGGCTACGCGCCCGGACTGCGCACGCAAATCAAGGCAACCCCAAATGAGGTTTTCAAGGCCTCGGAAGCATAAAATGAGTAAGAAAACAAGTGATGACCCTTTGGGTCGTCACATTTACCCTTTAAAATAGGCTTCACATTAGATAAAAGTGTAATTTAACTGTTTCCCTAATATTCAAGACTAAATATTTAATTAAGGAGTTCTTTTCATTCTTTTTCCTAGAATAATAATTAGGAATTTGAATTCAGCTATAATTCATTCAAAATGTGTAAGAAGGAAACCGTATATATCTTTGCTTGGAGACTATTTTGAAAACTTTGTTGCAACTTATCAAACTGAAAAAATAAATATATTACACACTTAATTCCTCTTCCTTTTTGGAACCAAACTGTACGCCTTAGGATTCTTATGTTTTGCGCGTGTACACCAACTTGAGAATATAATTCCCCCGGTCATTCAATTTTCTCAAATTGTCCTCCATATGTATAGCAATTTATAATTTAAATAAAAATAAATATACGAAGTGCTATTATAAATATACATACGAAGAATAAAAAGTGATCTACATGCTAAAACATCTAACAAAAATTTTAAAAAAAAAAGGTTATTTCTTCACATATGTCCAAGCCTTGATAGACAAATTTACTTGGTATATGTTACGTAAATAACAGTCATCCCATAAAATTAATCGAGATATGCACAAACTGACTTTGAGACTTACACAAAAAGTAAAAAAATATAATCCTAAAATTCCTATCATAAAAAAATGGGAAAACAACTTTTTCAAGAAGGTATCGAAGGTTCTTCAATTGCTGGAATTCTAAACTAAATAAAAGAGAAAATAACTTTTCAAGAAGCAGTGAAAGTTGTTTACACCTCCAAATTTGCTTTAAACATCAAATTCTCCCCTCAACTTGAACAATAGACATCATGTTTATTAATTTAATGTTTAAACCTTTTAATTTATACACAAAATATAGTTTTTAATATATCACTAATTGCGAATGGGATACACGCGTAACTGCACGTACCCTAACACTAGTATATATATATATATGTGTGTCGAAAAATTCTTTAATTTTTTTTATATATTCAAACAAATAAATTCACATAAAATGAACGAAAGGAATATCATCATATAAAATGGAATGCCGAATAAATAGTAAAAGGAACATTTTTACGATAAACGACAAAATTTGACAGAGTGGAGAGAAGGAGGCGGCACATGGCTTACAAAGCATCTAGTGTATGATAGACCCCATAATTCAAGAATGGACCGCCGGTACCACATCATATATTGTACTAATATAATATATACAAAATTTTAAGAAACTAAATTCAAAATAATAATATAGAACAAGAAAAATAGACAATAGATGTAGAGAGGAAATAAAGACTTTTTATTTCATCAAGTGTTTTCAAGTGTATACAATATCACTTCTTATACTCTATTTATAGTATTACATAGAGATATGCAAAAGAATGCCATAAACATGGCCTTAAACATTTGAGATTACGAATAAAGATCATGGTGAGGTTATAAAGATATGGGAGTTACAAATTGGGAATTATGAAGATAATGGAGAAGAGTAGCTGGTATTACTCTTTTATCAGTTATGGACATCCACCATTAAATAATTATTTATAACACAATATACTTTCTCCGTCACAATTTATGTAGCAGTATTTGACTGTACGATATTAAAAAATAAAATAAAAAATTTCAAACTTATAGTCTAATATGAGCCGTAGACATTTATTTAGCTATAAATTATCTCCTTAATAGGTAAATGAAAAAATTGTTAAATAATTTCTAAATAAGAAATTATATTATTTTTTTGGGACAAATTAAAAAAAAAAAAGTATAACACGAGTTAGACGGTCATGTACATGTATATAAACTTCTTCGAAATTTCCCGAAGTGTTTCTAACTTCAAAGCCTCTGCAATATCAGACCCAAGATCCTTCATAGGGTCAATCTTGGTATTTGTGAGAATGGGAATGTCTAGAGTTGCTGTGTTGGCCATCTTTGTTGTGGCATTGGCCACTGTCATCCCCTTTGCACAAGCTCAGGAATTTGCACCTGCTCCTGCACCTGCCAATGATGGTATGTTCCATTTTTCTCTCCCTTCAATCTTCATACAAATTAAAAAAAAAAATTATTATTATAAAGAATCTTCATACAAATACTAATCCTCCTTATACATCTTTGTGTTACACTTAGGATTTAAAATCAGTTATTTTTTTTGTTTTCCCGCTGGTGTCCCTGATTAGTCCGAATTTGCACCGCTTAAAGCCCAGTAAAGGAGAATTGACTCTCTACCAGAATTCTTTCTATACCAAAGGCTTGAACCAAGAGCTATGATTATTGGTAGATAGATCTATTTATCCCATTATAATCTTTGGTGGTAGATTTAGATTCAGTTGATTAAGAATGAATGCGATATTATTACATATATACATACATATTGATAAAATATTTGCTAGTAGTGCTAGAGATGTCAAATTTGTGTTTTCTCGGTTCTAATTAAGTTGTTGAGCCATGAAATTCTTTCTTTTTGTTGCTTTTCTTTTTCCTGTCCCAATTTCTTCTGTCATTTACTTGTTTTGATAACTCACTTCGATCAATATTTCCAAATAAATTTTGAAGTAATTGTTTCCCCTGTAAACTAGAACTTGGTGACTTAGAGACCAAGTCAAGAATGTCCAATGTTTATCATTTAAAAATCTGATGTTTAAAAAGTTACTATAATGGAACAAAACAATAGTGGGAGGCCATGCATTATAAACTATTAAGGGGTCGTTTGGTTGGCAGCAAGTTATCCCATGATTAATTATTTCAGGATTAGTTTTCCCACCCTTCCATAGGATAAAAAAATACTATAATCCCAGGATAACTAATTTCAGAATTAGTTATACCACGATTTTATCCCAATCAAACATGGGATAAACTTATCTCAAATTTAATCCTGAAATTAATTAACCCTTATCCCTCGTACCAAACGAGGCCTAATACTCCTAACTAACATGTCAATTACCCTGTAATTTTTCTTTCTATCAAACTTTTGCGGGTGAGAACTGAGGAGGAAGATAGAATAGTGGAAGAGGAAACAAGAAGTGGTGTAAAGAAATTATACATTATTACTGTAATTTAACATGTTGCATCACAGGGCCGGAGTTAGTATTGGCGGTAGGAATTCGGCCGAACCTAGTCACTTTAGTATAAATCTCTGTTTTAAAAGGCAGTGTACTGGGCTCGCCTAATAGAACTTTATGCAATTGAGTGTAACTAACCTTGTAAATGCACAAATTCTCTTAATAAATTGTTGACTATTCAAAATTACTTTTTTCTTAATCACAAATCATTAAGTTGAGAGTATCTTATGTCATAATTAAAATAAAAATTATTGCATGTTATCCACTAAGACTGCTATGATAGTAAACTCTAAATAAATCTTTCATTTAAAAAATATTTATTTATTAACTTTTGTTATGTCTTTATTATATAATAGTCCATAATTATTTTATATTTATTTTCCTAAATATTATTTTTTTCATGCTTACGTGATACAATACTTATTAATTCAATAGTTTAGTATTAGCTATTAACTATTTACAAATAATTAGTTATTATGGTAATGTATGGTGAATTATGTGTCACTTTATTAACTTGTTGAAACTTAAAGTGCTAGAGAATCATATTTAAATTGTGAATAATATTTTTATATAAAATTCTCTTTCAAATAGAAAACATATTAAATAAAAGAGGTATTTTATAAAAAAAATATCAAATTATAATATCAAAATTCTTTCAAGATCCGTTACTCCTTAAGAGATACGTATAAAATTTCGTATCGAATACATTACTTTTGTTGTTTGAGTTGTAACGACGTTACAGCTAATTTGCATATTATGATATATGTCATACTTTTCGTATTAATTCATGGTTGAATTATAATTTATAAATATTTTAAATAGATTATTTATTATAATTTTGTGAGTTTAATGTAATTTTTATAATTATTTTTATTTTATACTATCTTAAAATTCTTAAAATTAGTAAAATTTAAAGATCCGTGGGACTTACGCCCCATGTCTCAGGGCTTACGCCTCGTCTCGTCAAAGGTAAAACGCCTCGCCTCACGCCCCCGCCTTTTAAAACATTGGTATAAATTATTAATTTAGAACCCAGTAAATTAAAATTGCTAGAATTCCAAATCAATAAACTTCAAATCCTATAATTGCGCCTCTATTGCAGGAGGTTATCTGCATTATTTTTCTAGTTACTAAAATCATTTATTATAGCTTAATCTGTTATTTATAATTACGTTTTAGGTGATTTGACAATATAAAGGTCATAAATGCAATTTGCAGGAGCAACAGTTGATCAAGGAATTGCATACGTGCTGATGCTGGTGGCTTTAGTTCTGACCTATCTCATCCACCCTATGGATGCTTTTGCCTACACCTTCTTCTAAATTCCTCTCAGAAATATTATTTAGGATTAGGTCTAAGTTTCTTTCTTTTTTATTAATCTTTTAGTTTGTAATGTGAGATGAAATTAGACAGTTTAAACAGGCCTTATGTTCGACCTTCATTTGGATCTTTTAACCAATTCATTCATGTCTTTTTGGTACTTAATAAGATAATTCCATATATTGGTATTGCATCTTTCCTTTAACTTGTAACTTTTTTTTTTTGCTTTTGTTTTTGTATTCTCGTTCTTCCTTTTTATTGTTGGGTCAAAATCTTACGTTTGTCTGTTATTTTAGACGTGATTGGATTAAAGTTAAGAAAAATCACTACAAACCAAAAACTAGAATTAGTTACAAACTCCGTCGCTAATATATCGCTAAATCGCTCGTAACGAATAAAATTTCTTGATAATTTATCGCTAATCTGTCACTAAATAGGATTAGCAACAGATTTTTTTATTTAGCTACAGAATTTGTCAGTCGCGAATGCCTGTATTTTTAGCATTAAATGTGGTATATACATGCCTCTTTTAGGACATATTGGAAGAAATAAATATGAAAAGAACAAAGAAGAAACCAGATGAGGTTAAAATTTCCATATGTTTGCATCCTTTCAGTTGATAATTACTTCTGAAATTCTGCAAAATTAGTGCGACAAAACAATAGTTTGATTCTACTTTGACTCTTTTCTTTGTCAAAACAATATATTCTTGTCATTTCTTTTGTTTATTTGTTTAAATGTACAAGAAGGCATATATTTCACTATTTCTTTCTATCTTTTCATTTCAGCCCCTAAAATGTGATACTTTGTTCTTTAGAGGGTTTGATTCCATCGAAATGTTTGTAGTCAAACCACAAGGAACAGATTAGAAGCTAATTCATTCAATCTCTCTTGGGAAATTATTAATCTTAAGTAAGATTTTATCAATTTTAATTTTAATTTTTTTGCTGAGGCAACGATTATAGGAACTATTAACATTATTTCATAAGCAACATAGGTATTTAAAAAAGAATCATATTTCTTTATCTGTTTGACTTTATTGATTAAAGTATTATCATATACTTGTATTATTTCCGTTAATACTTTTCAAGTAATAAAGTTCCAATCTTTATCAAATTGCAAAAAGTCAACCAAAAAGTTAGCCGGTGGAACCTAAAAAAAAAATCGCAAATCCCGATCACCCATTCGAGTATGAGTCCAAATATACAAGTTTCATCCAAATCTGACTTCAAATAAAGGTTCAGATCTCCATTTTTCACTTTAGAAAAGTTTTGCCAAAACTCCCCAATTTTTCTCCCTTAGATTCACCAATAAAATACGAAAATCAAAGATAGAATCATGAATAATCATCAAATCCGAGTCAAGAACACTTACCCAATCCAAGTGGGTGAAAACCGCCTCAAAATTGCCTCAATCCGAGCTCCCAATCTCAAAATTTGATAAATAAGTCAAACCCTCAATTACATTAGTTCTGCACAACGATTATCGTTTTTGCGGTCTAAATGTCGCTTCTATGACATTGCATATGCGAAAAAAAGCCTCGCAGATGCGGAATCCACTTATGCCTCCGCCCTTTCGCTTCTGCGGAGCTGTTTCTGCGCTCCATGTAGCGCACCTATGCAAGGACTGCTGCTTCTGCAAACAAACCCGATCCCATCCAAACTCGCATTTGCGACCCCAGATTTGCTTCTGCGGACTCGCGCCTGAGGACCAAATCTCGCAGGTGTAAAAACACCAAACCCGATCAGCCAAATGGCTCCCAAATGATCTGAAGACCAATCAAACCAAGCAGTCCCACAATAAAATACGGACCTTGTCACGACCCTAAACTCAACCCTATCGTGATGACGCCTATCGATGGTACTAGGCCATCCGACTATCACTATACTCCAATAATTCATTAAATGGTAAGCCAAAAACCTTTTTATAACAGGATTTTCATAAAAGAACTACGAGTTAAACTCAATATAGAAGTACTGAGAAGCCCCAAACATCGGGGTGTCACTAAGTCATGAGCATCTAATAGAACTGGTCCGACAATAACAAGATTTACATAGTCTGAAATTCAAAATACAACTAAAGAAAGATAGGGAAGAAGAAAAGCAAGGCTGCGAATGCCGGGCAGCTACCTCGCTATCTCCAAACTGCTACGAGGACTACCAACAACCTCCGCGACCAACAACTTCTGGATCTGCACATGAGGCGCAGGGAGTAACGTGAGTACACCAACTCAGTAAGTAACAATAATAAATAAGAAACTGAAGATAGTGACGAGCCACATAGTTTTAGTTCATTTTCAATAATTTCAGAAAGGATAATAGTCATGCTTCCCAACTTTCTGGTAATTCAAGTCAATTCAGTTTGTTTAAGTCAAATTCAAGTAAAACCAAATAAGAATATCTTTCAAAAGTTTTCAAAACATGAATATATGGCAACTGTGTGCATCAATAGTAATCACATACTGCCCCTCAGGCAATCATCTCTCAGTCCTCCCAATCACTCCAACCTCAGAATCACTCATTCCTCCCAGTCACTCATTCCTCACAACCACTCGGCACTCGCGCTCAGTAGGTACATGCGCTCGCTGGGGGTGTGCAGACTCCGGAGGGGCTCCTTCAGCCCAAGCGCTATAACAAGCCAATCACGGCATAAATCAATAAGACATGTTGCGGCGTGCAGCCCGATCCCATAAATATCCTCACAATCAGTCCCTCGGCCTCACTCAGTCATCAATCTCTCCAGTCTCTCGGGCTCTCAAATATCAGGATAAATCAGCCCAAATAGCAATAACATGAGGCATCAAATAGAATAACAGAGGCTGAGATATGATATGCGACTAAAAACTGTGACTGAGCACAAATAGCATTTAACCGGCAATTCAATATGTAACGCTGCCCCTACGGGGCCCAACAATGCCAACATATAACCTAAACATGGTTTCTAACATGATTTACAGTCAATTTTCCATAACACATAGAGAGCATATTGCTAACAGCATGTTGTTCAACTTTACAGTTTCTACAGGACGGACCAAGTCACAATCCCCTCGGTACACGCCCACACACCCGTTACCTAGCATGTGTGTCACCTCCTAAATAGTCACAAGACACAATGTACGGGGTTTCATACCCTCAGGACCAGATTTAGAACTATTACTTACCTCAATCCGAGTAAAATCCTACTCTACAATGCTTTTGCCTCTCGAATCGGCCTCCAAACACCCCGAATCTAGCCACAATCAGTACAATACCATTAATATATTGTAAAGGAATCAATTCCACAAGAAAACTACTAAATTAGACTCCAAAATCCGAAATCGGCTCAAACCCGAGCCCGGAGCCCACGTCTCGAAATCCGACAAAAGTCACAAAACCCGAAATCCATTCACTCACGAATCTAACCATACTAATTTCATCAAAATCCAACATCATTTGCCCCTCCAAATCCCCAAAACTCACTGTCCCATTCTCAAGCCCTAGCCTCCCAAATCTCACCTCAAAAACTCACCAACTAGGTGTAAAATCAGTGGGGAAACACCATTATTGAACTTAAATAAGCATAAGGAACTCACTTCAGCAATAGCTCTGAAATCCCTCTCAAAAATCCCCAAAATAAAGATGTGAAAATGGGGAAAAATCCCGAAGTGTTCTATTTATACCTTCTCCCAGCAAAACTGCATATGCGGTACCATTTACGCTTCTGCGACGCCGCATCTGCGGAAAATCACTTAAATCCAGCTCCCCGCTCCTGCAATCATGAGCCGCATCTGCGATCATCGCAGGTCCAGAATTGACATCGCACCTGCGGGCCAACACACGCACTTGCGCCCACTCTTCTGCTTCTGTGACCATCGCAGGTGCGGCAAACCCCTCGCACCTGCGAACTCTGCCAGCCTTCTTCCTTTCGCTTCTGCGGCACATACCCGCTTCTGCAGGCTCGCACCTGCGATGAAACATCCGCAGGTGCGTTTATGATAGCTGAGTTCAATCTTCAGCAGTCTTCCAAATTCCAAACTTAGTCAAGTCATCAAATCACCTCGAACAACATCGAAAACACGAATTACACACAGATTCAAGCCTAATGAACTTCGAAACTTCCAAATTCTACAACCGACATCAAAACCTATCAAACCACGTCCGATTGACCTCAAAATTTGTACCCAAGTCATAAATGACACCATGGACCTAGTCCAACTTCCGTAATCAAATCCGACCCTGATATCAAAACTTCCGCTTCCGACCAAAATCGTAAAAATTTAACTTTTGCAAATTCAAGCCTAATTCTACTACGGACCTTCAAATCATATTTCGCACGCGCTTAAGTCTAAAATCATCTAAAGGAGCTAACAGAACCATCAAAATTCAAATCCGAGGTCGTTCACACATAAGTCACCATCCGGTCAATTTTCCCAACTAAACCTTCTCACAAGAGACTAAGTGTCTCAATTCACTCCAAAACCTCTTCGGACCCGTTTCAACTAACCCGGTAAGTCATAATACAGTTGTAGAACACAAAAGAAGCAGGAAATAGGGGAACGGGGCTGTAACTCTCGAAACAACCGGCCGGGTCGTTACATCCTCCCCCTCTACAAACGTTCATCCTCGAACGGGTATAGAAACATACCTGGAGCCTCAAATAGGTGTGGATATCTGCTCCGCATCTCCCGCTCGGTCTCCCAAGTAGCCTCCTCCACGGGCTGACCTCTCCACTGCACTTTTACTAAAGCTATTTCCTTTTATGTCAACTTTCGAACCCGCCGCTCCAAAATAGCCACCAGCTCTACTTCATAAGTCAAGTCACCATCTAACTGAACCCTGCTGAAATCCAAGACATGAGAGGGATCGCCGATATTGGATGCACACCTGACAAGCTAGGTGGTAAGGCAAGCTCATATGCCACCTCCCCAATCCTCCGAAGTACCTCAAAAGGCCCAATGAATCGAGGAGTCAACTTGCCCTTCTTTCCAAATCTCATAACACCCTTCATGGGTGAAACCTTCAGCAAGACCTTCTCCCCAACCATGTAGAACACATCACGAACCTTTCTGTCAGCATAACTCTTATGCCTCGACTGCGCCGTACGAAGCCGCTCCTAAATCAATTTCACCTTATCCAATGCATCCTGAACCAAGTATGTACCCAAAAGCCTAGCCTCACCCGGCTCAAACCAACCCACTGGAGATCTACACTGTCTCCCATA